CTGCCGGCCCCCTCCAAGGGAGCTCCTGGGCAGGCATCTGGGCACGACGGCCTGCTGCTGCTCAGACTCTGACCTGCCCGCAATCTGGGCACCTCGGTGGCAGTCGCCGGTGCTGTGTTGCAGATGGGGCTAGTTCTAGAGCCCCGCCCCTGCTCCCCTGGCCTGCAGGACGTGTCCCCTAACCTCCCTCCTGTCCCCGCCCCGGCGAGGACTGTGGGAGTCACGGCTGCGGGACCCTGAGGAAGCGGTCCCAGCTGCCCGCAGGGCAGTCTCCCGGCATTTCGAGAGATGTACAGAGATATTTAAATTTTTAGAAGCAAAACTTGTACAACATTAAAACGATACCAAGTCCTTTTCCACGTGTTCACCCGTTTTAGCCCTGGTGTGAGCATTCGCCCCGTCTCGGGCTCCCTGGGCCGTGGGTGCCCCCATGTGGCTGTGCTGGGGACATGCGTGCCTGACTGCGCTTGGCTTGTGCTGAACCTTGGCCCTGCCTGGACATCTCCTTGGTGACTGAACACGGCTCCGATAAACACTTGCCCCAGCTCTGTGCTGTTCCCCATGCCCAAGCTGGGCCTGAGACAGGCCATGGATTCCCAAAGGCCCCGTCTGGGTCCTCGGAGGGCTCCCCAGGAAGGGGCTCCCAGGCCAGCTCCTCGGGTCAGACCCTGGCCCTGGGCAGGGACCCTAGGCGAAGTCCCCCAGCCTGGGGCTGCTCTGCCCTGAAGCCTCAAAGCATGTGGTCCCAGAACCGTTCTTCCTGGACGGTCGGGCACTGCAGGGCCAGGGACATCCATGAGGTGGCCTGTCCTCTGCTCCTCCAGCAGTGGGCATCAACCGGTGTGGCTGCCTCCTGGCTGGAGAGCCAGATGGTGTTCCACCATGGCGAAGCCTCAGCTTGTGCTGGCCATGAGGGCATGCCGGCCACTGCAGCCCACGGCATGAGCCAGTCCACCCTTGGCTAAGCATTGCCCTCTGGAGCCCTCGGGAAGGTGGGCACTGGGTGTGGCACCAGGACGCTGGGATGCTGGAGGCTCTGCACACAGGAGTCAGGGAGGCCACGGGTCCTATGGTCACCCCTCTCCAAACTCAGCAAGGACCACATGGAGAGCCTGCTTGCCCAGCCTCCTCTAGCCCCACCAGGCCCCTCAGAACAAGCCTGGCAAGATCCCCATCCCTGAGCCTGGTGGTCACCTGTGCGTCGAGAGCTGTAGTCCCGAGAGCAGGGGTGCGGTGGGGGGTGGGGCCGGCTGCCTGGGGTGCTCTGAGGACACTACCATGCCAGCCTGGCGACCAAGGCGCCACGGTGAGCCCACGGGTGGTGCCTGTGTGCAGGGCAGGGCTACTGGGGGATACAGGCCGGGGGCTGTGGGAGCCGAGGGGAAGGCCACAGCCGATGCTCTTCAGGAAACTGGCTATCAGCTGCGGCTATGGTCAGGGGACGAGGCAGAGGCCGGAACCCTCCTGCTCGACTAGGCCACAGGTGGGCCCTGCCTACACAGGAGGGTGGCTGATGCCATGGCCAGTCAGGCAGCCCTGGTGGAGGGCGGGCTGGGGATCGCCAGCCTGTGCTGAGTCCTGGTGCCTTCATCCTGGCTGTCCATCCCCCACTCCTCCTTGGGCATGTCCTCCAGCCCGGAAGGCCCTAAGACCCTCAGATCTGAGGCCTGTGGACCTCAGGGCCTGGTGGTCCTGCACCTGGGAGCCCAGGCTGGACAGGCCAGCACTGCCGTCCACGGCCAGGGCCCCTCCAGGGCCAGGCCCCCTGGGGTGGGCTTGAGGCAAGAGGATGGGCCAGGGAAGGACACACAGAGGGACAGGTAGAGGGGCTTCCCTGTTGGAAAGCAGTGACAGGGCTGGGGGCTGGGCCAGGCAGGAGGCAGGTGGCGCTTCTGCCCTGGGCCCCACAGAGAGGGGGAAGCTGGAGCCAGGCTGCAGACCAAGCTCAGGATGCTGGGTGCCTGCTGCCCGCTGGTGGCCACCATGGGAGGGCAGGCAGGGTTGACGGGTCCTCGCAGACTCCCAGAGCAGGTCATAGCAGCTCCACCCAGTCAGCCTCAAGTGCCCCAGGGTATGCAATGTGGGTCCCAGACTGCCAAGCAAAGTGGTCTGGAAGATGGCCCTGGCCCCCCACTTGCTGGGCCTGGGTCAGCCTCTGCTCGGGATCCAAGTGAAATGGCTCAATCTGGGGGGCCTGGCAGGGGGAGGCGGTAGCTTGGCCTCCGCTGGGCTGTCAGCAGCACAGGGGCCAGGAGCAGCCTCCCGTGTGAGGTCAGAGCTGGGACCTCAGCCAGCCCCCTCACCCAGTTCACCGTCCTGGGCACTCACTGTGGGCCAGTCCTCTCAAGCCCACACCCCAGGGGACCAGTTGAGGGACGGCCCAGGAGCTAGAGGAGGCCCCAGGCATCCTGTGGCACTCCCAGGGACCAGGCCCAGTATCCCTCTGCTGCCTGTTCCCTCCCTCACTGTGCCGACTCCACGTGGCACAGCAGCAGAACCCACAGGTCTGTGCAGTGGAGCAGAGCCGGCCCCACGCGGCTCCCGCCAAGAGCTCTTGAGGGCGATCAATGCCCGTGGCCTCCTCTTCACAGCCTCTTAAGTCAGGAGTGCCACTCAGCACCTCCACCGTCCCTGGCGCGGCCAGGAGAAGACAGTGCACACTAGACACGCGCTGTCAGTTTCCTCTTCCCGCCCAGGGGAGAAACACAGGAGAGTCCTAGAAGCCACTGGAGGGAGGAGCTGCGCTCTTGGCTTCCCGTGGGGACAGCAGGGAACTGCCCAGTACTGCATGAGCTTCCAGCCCGCCAGAAACGAAGCAGCAAAGGTGGCACCAGCCTCCGGTTTCCCCACTTGACTTGGCGCACGTCCCACGGCGTGTCCCAGCAGGCGCACACGTGTGTGTTGATATATTTATATATATATAAAAGACTATTTAACAGTTAAATATATTCCAACGCAAATGTCTTAGGACAGAGCTGCGTGTCCCGTCATGCCGGTGTGTCTGGCTGGGCGCACGCGCCAGGTCACAGCAGCACAAGATAAATACTCTGGTGCGGACGCAGTTTCCTGTGGTGGGAAGACGCGTTCCTGGTCCTCGGCAGCCTGCCGGAGCCTCACTCGGCCGGGACCTCGTACTTGAAGATGACGCTGAAGAGCCGGCCGCCCAGTCGCTCGGCCAGCCAGGAGTTCTTGACGACAGCCAGCTTGAGGCTTTCGCAGCGCAGGGCCGCGTGGTAGTTGGTGTGAACGGCACGGCCCATGCCCTCAATGACCACCAGGTCGGCGCCACGCTCCCGCACCAGCACGGCCAGCCCCTTGTCCAGGCGGCTTCGGGGAGGAACAGGCAGTGAGGCCAGGCGAGGAGCTGGGTGGACCCCACACCCGCTTCCCATGAAGGCGGTGGCCGGCAGAAAGCTGGCACTCCAACTGGTGAGTACTAGATCCCAGCCCTGGCCCCGGGCAGGACCCACTGCGGGGCAGAGGGCCCGCCTGGAAGCTGCCTTGGTGACTCTACACCCCAAAAGCTCTTGCTACCTCTCCTAGACTTTCCCCTCCCTCCGTGGCTGGAGGTGTGACGAGGGGTTAAGCGGTCCCGAGAATCCCCACCAGGACTAACGTCCCAGAACTCAGACTGTCCCCTCACTTGAGTGGTTCTTTTTCTATTCTAGAATCGGGGAGGCCGGAAGCACTGAACAGAATTGGCTAATTATCCATAGTAATGATAGACACCGAGCTCCTTGTCACTCACGGGGGACAGAGGCTGCCAGACACAGGGAGGTGCCAGGCCGTTCTCACCAGAGCCAGACAACACAGGGACGTTGGCTCTTCAGCCCCAAACCCCCAGGCCCGGACGCAGGAGCCCCAGACCCTGGATGTCCCCACTCTCGCCAGGCCCTTGGAGACAGTGTTGCTGCCCCTGCTGAGGCCAAGCCAGGTCAGGTCAGGGGAGGCCTCTACGTCCCTGACACGGCCCATGCCGTGTCCCTGACACCTGCGTCCTGCACACATCCAGGTGCCCAGAAAACGGAGCCCCGGAGGGAGGAGCCCAGGAGGGAAAGAGGACCCTGGAGGGAGGGAGAAGCCCAGGAGCAAAGAGGAGCCCAGGGGAGAGAGAGGACCTGGGAGGAAAGGAGAACCAGGGGAGGGAAGGAGGACAGGGGAAGAAGGGAGGGTCCTGGAGGGCGGGCCTGCGAAGAGGCACTCACCTGAGGTCCAGGCACGGGGAGCTGGAGCCCGTCTGCACCAACAGCAGCCGCTCTTCCCGGAGGGCAGCGCTGCGGGGCACGAGGCGGTCAGCGCCCGGGGACGGCCCCTCGGGGAGCCTCCCCCTCGGTGACAACCTCCAGCCCTCCGTGCCTGCTCCGCCCCCACCAGCCACACTCACTGCACAACGGGGTCCATGCTTGCGATGCGCTCGGCCACGATGAGGGACTCGCTGTGGGTAACGTCGTTCAGGGCGGGGCCTGAGTTGCACGCCAGGATGACCTGTAGCGGGAGGGCCCAGCTCTTGAGGACCCCGTGCTGCCGCCCAGCATGGAGCCTGCCCCACACCCTGGGCTCTCGGGTGGCAGCTGCAGGTGAGGTGGTGTTGCCCCTGGACCTGGCCAGCTGACCCTGCCCGACCTCACTGCCTACGGCCTCTGCAGAGCTGTGCGCAGAGCCCGCCCTGGGATCTCCCTGCCTTGGGCTGCCTCAGAGTCGGCATCACACCCCAAAAGCTTCTCTCTGAGGCCCTCTCCAGGAGACAATCAGCCTGGCCTCTGTCCTCAGGTCCTGAGCCCTGTGGCGGGAGGCTGGGAGCCATCCACTCCATGACACGCCGGGCCTGGCCACCCCACGCCGCTGCCTGGCCTGCACCTACCTGCCGTGATGCAGGAGCGCGGCCGCCACCAGGGCCCAGCGCACCACCCCACCAGGGCAGAGGAGCCCAGGGAAGGGTCCCAGCGGCCTTGCCACTCACCTCTGTCCCTCTAAAGAGTAGCTCCCTGACAAAGGGGAAGACTCCCAAAATGATGTCTATTCCACTGTTATCTGCGAAAATTAAGGCACATTTATGAGGGGGCCCCTGTAAGAAAAAACCAGGACGTTCAGTCGGGAACAGGCGCGGCCAAGCGGTCCAGACACCCCCCCCCGACTCCCTCGGGGTCGGGCCAGCCCGCTGGGGCCAGGCCTGCTTCTCCAGCAGGGCTCTGTCCTGAGGCCAGCTGACCTCAGAAGTGCCACTACCAGAGGTCAGGCTGGAGGGGGGATGCTTGAGACTCTGGCCTTGGGGACTGTGAGACTGCGTGGGAGAGGAGCCTGCGCCCGGGGCCACCGAGGCCTCCCTGCCCCTACCCACAACCTTCCACCTGGGGCCCCCTCCCAGGCCCTGGGCCTGGTGTCCATCCCCTGAGGGCAGAGGGGGGCACCTCCACATACCTTCAATCTCTGGAGCCACTCGCTGCAGGAATCCACAAGCCACGGTCGCTCTGTGGGAGATGGGGGAGGGCAGTCAGCTGTGGCTGAGCTGTGTAGGTAGGGGACATGCCTTTGCCGACCCCTGGGGCCCTCACCGACCCCCCCCCCGCAGGGAGCCTCTGCCAGGCACCCAGGAGCTCTGGCCTTCGCCACCCCCGCCCTCAGCCTTCACTGTGCCCCACCAGGAGCCTTCGCTGTCCGTCCCAGGGCCTGCACCTTCACGGGGCCCCTCAGCTTTCGACATTCCCCCCAGCCGTCACTGTCCCCGCTGGGAGCCTTCGCCATCCCCTCGGCCCTCACTGCCCCCCAGCAGCTTTCCCTGCTTAAGCCTTCACCATCCCCCCAAGGAGCCCTTTCTGTCCCCCGCCAGCCTCAGTCTTCCCCGGGAAGCAGTGCTTCCAAGCCCCGGAGCTCAGGGACAGAGCTGCAGACGAGGGCGGGCCCGCACCCAGTACCACTGTCCCCTGCTCCAGAGGATACCTAGACCCCTTGGTGATCCAGGGACCAGCCACAGCACATGCAGTGTCCATACCTTGTAGCTTCCTCTTTGCTTCCTCAAACCCAAACTGGGGATCGGATTCCAGGACACTGCAGAGAGGAAGAGATGTTAGAAAAACAACACCCAGGCCCCAGCTCACGCTGCTGCGCGAAAGCCCCAGATTCTTCCTTGCACTGAGCAAACCAGGGTCCCAATGCATGTGGTTGACACCGCCAGCCGCTCAGAGCTCTGAGACCCCAGCAAAGGCTTTAGGAGTGGGAGTGTGGTGCTCACAGTGGCCTGAGCCATGGCCTGGCAGCCCTTCCATGTGGCGGCCACAGCATGGGACCCGCTGGCTGGGCCAGCAAGGGTGGCAAGTGGAGCACCGGGCCACACCCAGGGGTTGAGGCGAGGACCACACCCACGCCCACACCCCACACACTGTCGGAGAAGCTCATTTCCTAGAGGGGCCGCGGGGACGGGGGCAGGCAAGGGCAGGTCTTGCCCCTATGTCCCAGGATGTGAGCAGACCTGGGAGCCCCAGCAGGGCAGGCCAGCTGCCTGCGTGGGGGAGGCTGGGACATGCCCACATGCCAAGGGAGGGCCCGAGGCTTGGCGGGGCCACTGCTGAGGCTGGGGCCTGGGAGCAGCTCTTGGTGATCCAATAATGATGGTTTATTCTGCAGCCACCACAGAAGAGAAGCCTTGGAGGCAGGGTGGCTGGCTCTAGTGTTGGGGGCCTCCTTGGGGCCCGAGGGGACAGATGAGGGCACTGGGCCCTGCACACCCTTGGGGCCTGCCACGTCCCTCCTGAGGCCTTGAGCATCAGGCAAAGCTCCAACAGCACCAAGTGCTCTTGATCCCCGGGGCCCACCCACCTCCTCCAGGGAATAGGGACAGCAGGGCAGGTAGGGATGGCTGGGAACGCACCAGCTCTGGGCCGCGACACCTACTCAGACACAGCCTTGGCCCCCCAGTCGAAGACATTTCCGGCCAGGAGGCCTTTCACCAGGGCCAGCTGCCTGTCCTCCCAGCTCAGTGCGTCCAGGGAGCGGATCACGCCGGGAAAGCACTTCAGCGCCAGGCCGTTCTCCTTCTGCTTCACCTGCAAGGACGCCACACTGGTGGCCACAGTCCTCCGGGCTGTATCTCCTCAGCAGAGTGCCATGAGAAAGGATGCTCACTGAGGACTCGGCAGAGTCCCTGGACCGCAGCCCCAAAAAGGACATAGCATGCCCATGTCTGAGTACTGAGGGGTGGTCAAGATCACACAGTGTGGTTGCCCGTCTGACCTGGAGACCTCAAAGCCCGAGGGGCTGTGCAGCATACGACAGAACAGGGCTTGAGGGCTGGGTCCCAGGAGAGCTTTAGACCCATGAGGCTGAGCTGTGAAGGAGTGGGCACCCACAGACCCACCTGAAACCCAAGACAGCAGACAGGGCGTGCAGGGGCAGGGGAAACTGTGTGTCCCTGACCCTTGACAGTGGTGCCAGAAGGGCCCAAGGAGGGCAGAGCTTCCAGGTTCTAGCAACCAGATGTGGGGCCAAGAGGTTGTTAATATCCGAGGCACAGACAGCCCTGCGAGTTGGGGGTGTTGCCAGCCTGTAGGAGCAGCCGAAGGCAGGCCCAGGGTTCTGGTACTCCACCCTGTAACGACCTTCTTAAGACTCCGAGTGGCCTTGGCTCCCACAGGCAGGTAGCCTGGGCCTCGCTAGGGGAAGCTGCACAGATGTGGGCCCCACCCCTATTGGCTCCAGCCAACTACGGGTCACAGCTCGTCAGCAGAGGCTGCCGCGGGAGGTCTTGGCTAGTAGCCTGTCCCCAGTGCTTGAGCCATGGCCATTCCCAAAACAGTGTGGCCCCACAGGATAGTATGGCCGAAGGAGAGCACATCTGACTCCCACAGGACAGCACAGCTGACTCGCAACAGCACAGCACGCGCTCGCACCATTTGGACAGAGAACAGCACAAGGGACACCCTGTGGTAGCACTTACCTTGGAGTAGGGGTCTGGGAAGTTGAACTCGTTCAGACAGTGCTCCCTTGTGTCCAACAGGCTGCGCACAGTCAGGGTCCCGTAAGCACTGGGGACAGAGCGGGTGGAGGGGAGCTGAGCGGACAGGCCTCACGGAGCCCAGCAGAGCACAGAGGCCACGGGAGGTGCGGCAGGGGAGACTGGCCAAGTGGGCCACACCCGCCCCCAGCCAGTGGGCCTGGACACTGACGGCACGGCGGCCTTCTCCGAGGCGCGAGGCCACGGCACAAGGCGGGCAGCTCGGAAGCCGGACACTCACAAGGGCTGGTGTCTGAGCGTCTGCAGCTTGTTCCAGTACTTCCGTCGGAACTTCTCTGCTCTCTCAGCTGCATCCGCAGAATCCGGCTGGCTCGCCACAGCCCGCTTCACGACCTGCCGACGATGGGGTCCGTGAGCAGAGAGGGCCTGCTCCTGGGGAACCGTGGGGAGCACAGGGCAGGGCTGGCCTCATGGGACCTCCCAGGACCGCGGGGAGCAGCTCCTCCCAGGTTAAGAACCATGGCTGAGGCAGGCCACCGGGGCCCTCTTGGCCACTCGGTCCTCATGGCTACCCTGGGAGGCAGAAGCAGGGGCGGCCCCAGCCCTGACTGGCCCACAGTGAGACCCCAGAATCCCCGCCCCACACAGGGGCCCACTCAGGGTCCAGGGCAGGCTGGCTGGATATAAGGCCTCCCTGCGGGGTTCTGGGGAGAGGTGCTCAGGGCACGGTGGTGACTGCCCACCCCCACACCTCCCAGGGTTGCATAGCCCAGGGCCTGGCGCCTCCTTTGGCCTTGGGACTGGCCCCAGCCCTGGCCTCGGAAAGGGCAGGGAAGTCCAGCCCAGGGTGGTAGCACTGGATGCTCACGGGGCTGATGGGACCCCTGACCTCATCCCTCTGAGAGCGAGGGTCCCGGTGCTGCCTGCGCTTCAGTCACACATCACGTCAGCAGGAAAGTACGACTGCTTGTGGCTTTTGAAACGTCAACACCCTTGAGACCTGCCTCACTGGCCTCTAGTCCCGCCGACCCACCAGGTGAGAGGAATATCCCCCGAGGAGCAGAAGTTCCCCTCCTCATACTCTAAGGCAGACTGAGGGCCTCCGGAAACCTGGTCTGTCCTTGTCGCTGCCAAGGCTCTACCTGGGAACTTCAGGGTAATGACGCCGCAGCCCCACATTGCCAGGGACAGTGTCCAGCACAGGAGCCTGCCCAGGACTGCTCACCCCGTCCAGGGCCTCCTCGAAGCAGGTAAGCCAATACTTGCGAGCCAGGGCATCCTCGGTGAGGTCCACTGTGTCAGGCACATAGGAGGACGGGTCCCGTAGGAGGGGCAGGCTGACCAGTGGTCTCTCCAGTCGGTCCATTTCCAGCAAGTCAAACTAGAGAGACAGGAAGCAGCAGGACCATCACCACGGTGCCCAGAAGGCCACGCTGTCACTTCAGAGCTCGGGTGGGTAGGACTGTCATCGCGGTGCCCTGAAGGCCACACCATCCCCTCGGAGCTCTGGTGGGCAGGCCCGTCACCATGGTGCCCGGAAGGTCACGCCATCCCCTCAGAGCTCAGGAGGGCAAGGCTATCACCACAGTGCCCAGAAGGCCATGTCGTCCTCTCAGAGCTTGGGTGGGCAGGATCGTCACCACGGTGCTCAGAAGGCCACGCCATCCTCTCGGAGCTCAGGTGGGTGGAACCGTCACTGCGGTGTCCAGAAAGCCACTCCATCCCTTCAGAGCTCGGGTGGGTGGAACTGTCACTATGGTGCCCAGAAGGCCATACTGTCTTCTCAGAGTTTGGGTTTCTCCCTCACAATGGAAGAGAACACTACCTTCTGCCAAAGACAAGACCCCAGCCATTCCACCTGGTGCCCCAGTTGTCCATTGGCCTGAGCTAGACACCTCGACTTATCCCCTGGTGTGGTGGTGGGGTTGGATCTACCCCGAAAGACTTCAAGTCAGCTTCCACCCTTCCCTGCCTCATCGCCCCCTGCAGTCACCCCTCGTCCATCACCTCCACAGGGATTTGTGGTTCCCAGGCCGACCTCCCTGGACCTTCCGACTGCCCTAGTACCAGCTTACACCCAGGCTCTCAACACCACCACCACTTCCCTGGCTCCCACTGTACCCCATGCTGCCCCAGAGCTCTGCACCTGCTGTCCCCGTAGTGCCCACAGCCCGTCCTGCAGACTTCTCCACGGCTGCTCCCACATGCTCCCTGTGCCCACAGCCCCCCGCCCAGCACGAGGCCGCCAGGTGATTTTAGATCACCCACCTGCTGGGAAGAATGAACTTGTACGCACCAGCCCCTGAAACTCTACATTCTGGCACAGACAGCGTGGCCAGCCACCTCTCCCGGCCCTCCAGTGACTGTCCACAGGTCGCATGCCTGCATGGCTTTTTCCCCAGGAGCACATCCATCAGCAACAACGGGCTGGAGGCAGCCACATGGCAGGGATCCCGGACAGTGAGACCCCAGCAGGGGACCCTTTCAGAATGCGAACATGCCCACAGGATGGAGCGCAGCAGGGACACGGTGGGCACCTTCTGCCTGGTGAAGGAGTCAGGAGTCGCCCGCGCTCGCCACGGCCAGCACTGCCACTGCTGCGGTTGTGTCCTGCCTCTCTCTAGTGCTGCTCCCACCTCACGGCCCTCCTGCTCTTGGCCAACGGAGGCTCAGGCCCAGCTTGGCCTTTTTGGGGCCACGTAAGCCCGAGGGGGTGATCTGGTCTCTTGGGTGATGTGGGAACTCTCATCTGAGAACTCTCCTAGACACTGTTCTTGTCCCCACCTGACACGGGCATGACGTGTGACCGAGGACTGGCCGGGTGTGGCGTCTCAGCACTGACAGAGGACAGGAGGCCCACAGGGCCAGTGATCCTGCACGTTTCACGAAGCAGAAGCTGAGGTTGAAGATGTGGGCCCCTCCCCCACACAGACCCTGGTGCCTGCCTGGGGTCCATTCCCAGCACAGCCTGGTGCCCAGCCACGGAGGTGTGGGGCAGCATGGTGGCCGGTATGAAGCACCCACTGCAACATGGACAAGAACTACAGGCACCAGAGGTCCCACACAAAAGGTGCATACTGTCTGGAGAAGTGAGGATGACCTTGAAAGCACCCATGCTAACTTGGAGGACCCGCGTCTGCAGCTGAAAAGCAACTTCCCACCAGCAATGCCATGGCCTGCAGGATGCAGGTGGCTGTTACCATGAGCTGTGCGTACAGGTGTGGACAGGAGCTTGCTGAGCAGACTTTGTCCCAGCATGAGACTAGCGGCCAGAAATCATGGCCCGGGGGCAGGACCCAGCCGCCCTCGGCTCCAGGTACAGCCCGGCTCTGTGAACAGGCTCCTGCAGGGGGTGGCCCCTCGCACCACACCTGAGCACACCCTTTACCCACAGGGTGGCAGATGTGCAGCTTCCTGTGCTGTTTCACCATCACAGAACGGCATGCAGAGGGAAGGGGAAGCAGGCCCACCACCTTTCTCCTGCCCCCGGGGAGACCTCGCAAGGCCCCGGGTGGATTCATAGTCAGTCTGCACGCCCAGAAGCCTATGACCTGGGCCACACCAAGGGGAGCTTTTTCAGAGATGGTGGAGGGTGGGCGCGGCCACCCCCCTGGGACCTGGTGGACAGAGCTACCCACCGTGCCGCTCCTGGCCCGCGGCGTGGGACCCAGCTCAGGCGACGTGCTCATGAGCCCAGAGCTGCCGGCGTAGTTCTCGCCCCAGCTGTACTGATTGGGATCTGGAAGACACAAGGTGGGGTACAGGTAAGCGAGACGGCTGGAAGGGCACAGAGCCACTCGCTTTCACGCTGAAGCACTGGCCTGCCACCTCCCCATCTCCTGCCTCACCTCCCAAGGAACCGCTCCCCACCTCCGCCTGCTCAGACCCGCCCTGCCTGTCAGGTGCAGACGCCCTACTCACTGTCGCCCTACTCACTGTCTTGCTCGGCTCCCTTTAAGAATGCGCCGATAGCTCCCAGGTAGCCCTCGTGCCTCAGGAACAGCGCCTGCACCTCCCCCTGTGGCCAGAGCCCGCACACCAGAACATCCAGTCAGTTCCACCTCCATCAGCTCAATGCACGGCCCTGCCCACCCCATGAGCTGTCCCTGACACACCGCTGATGCATGACACTGCACGGGCGGGGGCCTGTCGCTCGGAGGGCCACGAGGAGAGGGGTTCCTACATGCATTACCCTCCACTGCCTCTGCCCGCGGCAGGCTGCGGGGCTGGGACAGCTCTGCCTGGCGCACCACCCTGACCCCAACGGGCCGATCCGAGCCCCAGCAGGCACCAGCACAGGTGTCCCAAGGCTCGCCTGGAGCCTGTCCCCTGAGACACGGACCATGCGCCTCACCCAGCTGCCCCCGGCTTCAGACCCACGGGCCCACAGGGTGCCTGGAACTGGCTGGAAAGAAGGCCCGGGACAACGGCAAGTGGGCAGACAGGAGCTCCTCTGGCCAGGGATGGCGAAGGTATCCCCCACCCCCAGCAGCTTCTCTGGCTCAGTGCCCACCCACTCGGTGTGACTGTGGCGGCCGTCCTGAGGACACTGGGGACCGGGCAGAGGCTGGGTAAGCCAGCCGTCCAGGAGGCAGTGAGCCTGCACCTTGGAGAAGAAGTTGATGCTGTAGGTGATGGTGCGCATGGTCACTGGGTGGCCGCGGATGAAGAAGCCCCCGAAGTACACGCGGTCCAGGCGGTGCAGCCTGGCGTACAGGCAGGCCAGCTGCCCGATGTCGTTGCTGATCATGTGCAGCAGGCTCTTGGCCATGTCCTCCTTGGAGAACTCTGAGGGACACAACAGGACCGGGGGTGGGCAGCTGGTCAGGGGTGGGGGGAGAGAGAGTAGGAAGGAGGGAGGGAGGGAGAGACAGAGAAAGAGGGGGAGAGAGAGGAAGGGAGGAAGGAAGAGGGAGGGAGGGAGAGGGAGAGAAGGGGGGAGGGCGAGGGAGGGAGGGTAGACGTTCGGGTGGAGGCCCGGAGCCAGGGCACAGGGGTGCGAGTGCCATGGGGATGGTTCTCAGAGTGGCCAGCTTTGCTTTCAAGGGGAAGGACATGTCTGCACTCCTCCTGACTCCTGGGAGCCAGCCCTGTGTCCCCAGTGCCACATAGGTGGAATGCCTTGGCTGGCACACCGGCACGAAGCAGGCCTGCACCACACGTCATGGGCGAGCTGCCGTAACTGGGGCTGCCCACAGCGTGAGACCCACAGCGTGAGACCCACCTCTCCCCGACGCCGCAGACACCGTGACAGTGGGGGGGACGCGGCGTCAGGCCCGTGCGTGCCCTCCCACGCCCAGGCGGTACCTCCGTCGGCCGTGGCCGACTTCCCGAAGCTGCTGGCGATGAGGCTGCCGCTCAGCCCCAGGGTCTGGTGCGCCCCACCATACACGTCCCGCACCAGCATGTCCACGTTGGCATGCTGGCCCTGGGAGGCCAGCTGCAGCAGCTCATCGAACTTCTGCGGGCCGGAGGACAGTGGTGAGAGCTGGCCCGGGGACCACCCTCTGGGCAGGCCCAGGCCACCAGACACCCCGGCCCCAGAGGCCAGAGGCCAGCAGGAGGGTCAGAGGGGCTGAGGAAGGCAATGCCTCCTGCTCTTTCAGCCCACCTCAAGCCCGCCACAGGTCCCCAGCCCTCCTCTGGTCTCCCCCGCCACATGGCCTCCAGGCCACCTCTAGCCTCTCTCCAACCACCGCAGACCTCCAGTCCTCCTCTGGCCTCCCCCACCACACGGCCTCCAGCCCTCCTCCGTGCCCCCCAAGTGCAAGCCCAGGACCCCTCCCGCAGCGCTGGGCACCTTTGTTTTGGTGAGCAGGGCCCCGAGCCCCCAGAAGGTGCCGCCTCCGATGGAGCTGCCGCCAATCCACTCGAATCTGTCCTCACTCTCCACCTGGAGCAGAGCCAGGCATGGGTGTGGGCACAGAGGGCCCCAAAGGTGCTGTGGTGCCCCGCCCCCTTCCTGAGAGCCCCTGGGGTGATGCAGCTCCAGAGGCCGCGTCTGTGTGCCACTGAAGGCGGCAGCAGGGCCATCGCTCCAGCAGCCTCATCTCTGTGAACGCCGGTTGCCGTCAGGCGTGTCCCTGTCTCTGTGCCTGTGTTGGCTCTCACACACAGTAAGTGCTGAGTTCCGCTCCATGGAGCCCTACCTACCTTCACGATGGAGACCCCAGAACCAATGTTGACAAGCAGGTAGGGGAAGATGTTGGGGTGGTTTATCTGGAACCGGAACTCGGGGTCAGAATCCTTCTGGTACATGAAGGCCTCGTGCGGGATGTTCTTCAACACGAAGTTGCACCCCTTTATCAAGCACGTCATCACGTCTTCCTTGTCCACCCTGAGAAGGAAGGAGCGGCCCTATAAGGGGTGCAGGCCACGCTAGCCCAATGTACCATCCTCTGAACACAGCTCCTGGCACAGCGAGGGTAGGCTTCTAGGAGCAGCACCCATCAGGCAGCCTGTCTCCAGGAAGGACCCCACAATCTGAGCTGGATGGCCCGTGCCCCTCCACGGCCACGCACACACCCATGGGAATCGTAGGGGACGCTGTGTGTTCTTCCCCCGCCTGCAGGGCCCCACTCACTTCAGCTGCAGCTTCTTTTCGATAAGGTCCTTGAACTTGTAGGCCCCACCCCCCGTCGCCTGGATGACCTTGGTCTCTGTGTTGACCAAGTGGTCCTTGATGAAGTCCAGGCAGGCTTCGATGTAAGTGTTCTCAAACTTGACAAAGTGCAGCCGTGCGGTGATCTCCTCTTGCACAGAAATCTCGTAGGGTGGCTCATGGTCGTGCTCCATGTCCTGGAAACAGGGTGAGGTCTGCAGGGGCCTGGGCATGGGGTGCTGCATGGGGGCCAGACCCCGAGCACTCTGGTATCTCCCCTCACCCCCCCGTGTCAGGTGGCACTCTGGATGCCAGCTTCAGGTCCAGGAGAGACCTGGGAGGGGAGGAGCTGGGGACTGCAGAGAAACCCAGGCAGCCCCGGCAGGGAAGATGCATGCCTTCTCAAGGAGCAGGCAGGAGTGGGTGGCCCCAAAGAGGGCCCTGAAGGAAACTGAGCGTGAGACGGGGAAGGTTGTCTGCTCGAGAGACGTCCAGGGCTGCTGAGGGAATCAAGGTCTGTGGCAGCAGGGGTGATGGTGAGGGTGCTAGGCCCCGGGCGGCTGTGGCCAGGCTCACCTTTCCCGAGTGGTCGAAAGACCTCACTTTGGCGACTTTGTGCTGTACCGTGGAATAATACGCCAGCTTGGTTAAGGATCCACCTGCAGGGACACAGAAGGGCAAACTCAGGACTGGGACTGAGGGAGGCCCGGAGGCCTGAACTCCCACACACAGGGCATCTCCAGCTGCTTCGGGGCCAGCCTCCTCTTCCAAGGCTGGAATCCCTGTGGTCAGGGTGTCTGCGCTGCTTGAACTTAAATGCCAGGGGTACAGAGGAGAGGAGAGAAGTGAGCATCAGGTCCAAACCCAGGCTTGCTCCCACAGCTCTGCTCCTCCCTGGGATCTGACCAGACTGAGTTCAAGAGGTCCTGCCCGACGGCACCAAGTCCCATAGAGCAAAGGGAGCCGTCCTATTTCTGGGTGACCTTGGCTACTCTTATTGGCATAAGAAGACTCTGTTTCAAGCTCTGATCTTGCTAATGACCCAAAGCAATGAGCTGACAAGCCCAGGTTGTCACAATGGGCCACCATCCTAAGAGGGGAGCCTGCCCCGGGGTCTTCCTGCAGATAACAGGGAGGCAGTGGGCCAGAGCGGCACCACACCCTCCAGGGGCTCTAAGAGGAGACACATAGCCCAGGCCCCAAAAGCAGCCAAAGGAAGGTAGCAGAGGTCCCGAGGTCTCCCATGGGCTGAAGTCTCTGATGTTCTCGAGAGGCCACGGCCCGAGAGTGCTGCCCACGACCAAAGGTCGAGCTAAGCCTTGAAAACAGAGACCTTTATGCACCTAAAACTCATTTCAGGGCCAATAAGAGTGGTTCTCAGAGGAGGCATCTGCAAGGAGGGACGTCACGTTGGGAAAAGGCATCTCAAGCTATGGTCTCACTCACAGATCTGAAGGACACAGATCAACAGAAACGAAGATGCAACGCCCCACGCTGCCAACGGCTCCCACAAAGGATGTTTCCACAGGTCTGACACGATAAGGTAGAGACCTGCACGGTGGGAGCAAGCGGGCTGAGGTCACCTTCACACAGTGTTTCTGTGACAAAATACCGGGGGAATATGAGAACAAGTGCTCGGGGCAGGAAATGGACTTGAAAACACGGCAGTGGTGGGGACCAGAAAGCCAGTGCCACCGAACAGAAACCTCCTCCAGAATACACAGCAGCCTATCTCACCCACCACCTGCCAGCTAGGGACAGGCTGGCATGGGCCTGCCCTTGCCCTTGGTGGGCCCTTGCACGGTCTGGCAGCCACATCCAGGCTCCATCTCAGCCCTGGACCATGACCTTAAGCCTCCTCAGCCCTCTGCCCTGCCCTGTCACAGCCTGGCCCAGAGTCTCACTAAAACGCTAGTTGTCCTGTTTACCTCCATGAGTAAATCACTTTGTAAAAAGACAGACGGTGCAACAGGATGAAAATATATTTTAAGAAACGTGTCAAAGGTCACTCTAAACAAACTCCCAGGTTCCAGAAATCTGATTCAGAGCCTGCATTTGTGTGTCAGTTTAATTCATCCAAATCAGGATGGGGCAGGGAGGTGGGGATGGCGGTGGGGGAGGTTGGTTTCTATAAGACACTCACCCTCTCTGCTTGGCAACACCCGGCACGGAGACGCCATCGAAGCGAGACCCTATCGTCCCACTCCCCACACCCAGGATGGAATGAAGGGGCCTGGGCGCGAGTGACACGCAGGGCAGGGAGGTCAGAGGACAGAGCAGTGGGGAGGAGCCTTCTGATCTGTTCTCAGGGACTTTGCAATCGGAACAGATCTGACGGTATAGTGACAAGGCTTGGGTTCGCCAGGCTAGTCCACACTCCATTCTGAGGCAAACAACATCGCCTGACTGGCCAGGGGATCCAGAGGTGCGGCCACCTGTGCCCTCTAGCACCTGAGTCAAGACTTCTGGGTCACCCTGGCCCATGGCCCCATCCTCCCTGCCACCTCTTCTTGTTCCATCTTTCTTTTTTGGGCACCAATAAAGGGTACAGGACAACCCAGCATATACCACAGCCCTGTGGCCCTTTCCTGTCCCAGGTGGCCCCTGAGGGCCCCTCCCCACTGCCCACATAAACCTGAAGTCACCTCAAGGCTTCACAAATGTTCTGATAAACAAGTGTCCCTGATGCTCTCAAAGAGGTGAATCAACTCAGCTGACACTGGTGTCCCCATCTGAGAGAAAAGGGCTCACTAAGAACACAGGGCAGCTGAGGTTTCCGGGACCCAGAGACCCAGGCGAGCAAGGAGGAAATGGGAGAAGCCTGTCTGTAGACAACACCGCTGATGGCACCTTGGCTCGGTGGGTTCCTGGGCTGAGGACCCCAACCTAAGCTGTGACAGCCCACCTGCTGCAGTAACAAACAAAAGGACTCAACGACAGCCAACATGTCCTTCCAAGGACCAGAGACACAGACCAAGAGACCAAGAGAAATGTTCTAAGAGGGAAACATGCCACCACTAAACAGGTCCCTCTGAGTGTCCTTCTGCCAAGAACCCTGGCTTGGCTCATGGTGTTCCAGACCCCCTGGACTGGGCCAGCCCTTTCTGGGTTTCAGCTCTGAGACTATTTGCGAGCCTCCGGTGGCCATGCAGAACATCCAAGGTGGACCCCTCCTCCCAGCTGTCCCCAGGTGGCTTACGCAGGTTCACTTCGACTGCATTTCAGAAACATTCAGTCCTGACCTGTTCCTACCAGCAGAGGCCCCCAGTGAGCGGCAGCAGAACACAGCAGGGAATCCTTCCGAGCACAAGCTCTACTGGGCACAGAGGTCTTGGGGGCGGGGGGACCTGGCTAGGAGCCTCTGGAGAGGCCTGAGAACTCACCACCTCCAGCCCAATAGCCAATCGGTTCCCAGGTTCTATCACGTTTCCCTCAAAATACCTCTCATGGTCATCCTCAGCTGTCGCCAGGCCAGGGCCCCCAAAGCACTGCCCCTCATGAGCTCACTGCAAGGTGGGAGCTAGGACAGGACCAGCCCCCGGAGTCTCCATTCTCACCGTTCTCACTTCCCTGGGGGACACACTCTCTCCCCACGCTAGATACCTCAGAGAGACGGTGCCAAGCCCACCACTCTGGTGACCCCTAGGACCCTAGTGCAGCAAATGCATCCAATGCACCAGAAAGGCACAGCTGGGAGGGTATGGCCCGGGTGTCTCTGACATCCTGGGAGGTGGGAAGTCAACAGTGGCATGTCCATTCATTATGTACTGAGCAGCCAAAACAGGGGAGGTATGGGAAACCACAGTGGCCTACCCAAGGGGAGCATCTCCTAGCAAAAAGCAGCATAGTGGGTGGGGCTGGCCAGGTTACCCTGGCTCTGCCACTTACTGGCCAGGTAGCCCCAAGCAAGTTAGTTCGCCTTTCTGTGCCTTGGCATCCCCATCTGCAAAATGCAGTTAATTTGAGTTCCTCCTCAAGGGGCTGCTGGGAGGTGTCTGAGAGTCAGCGGCGTGGGAGAAGGGTCTGAAACTGGCCTTGTGCACAGTCAGTACTGAGGCAGAAGAGGAGGCAGAAGAGCAGAGCCTGGAGAGGTGGGGACAGAAACGCAGGGTCTCCTGAGGGCCAAAAGACACCGGGGGCTTTTAAACTGGAGGCACGAGTTCCCGAGCTCCAAGTCCACGGTCGTCCGAACTCGTGCCAGATGTCCATTCTCCAAAGAGTGGAGCCTGTGGGTGGAGGTGGGCTGGGCTTCGGACAGGGCCCTGGTCAGCACCGTATACCGAGGCCTGTGCGCGGACTGGCCGGCCCGCAGGCCACAGTTGGCTAGGTCCTGGGTCCGCGTGCGCGCGTTTCGGGGACACTAAGGGATCCCGGGGACTTGCCCTCATCTCCGCCACAAATCAGAACCCCAAATTTCAGGCCAGCCACTGGCCAAGCAGCAAGGCCGAGCCGCCCAGCTGCTGATGTGGCCGAACGTAAAGCCCTCCGCATGGTCCAAGGCCCCGGTCGGCTGCCGACACCCCTCGCGGCGGGTCACGCTGCACCCCCGGCCCGCAGCCCCCCCC